AAATAAAATAAAATAATAATAACTGTCATTATCTCTACTTTAATTTTTTTTTCACTTTGGTCTGCAATGTGCAAGCATCAAGATTTTTTAAAATTAGCCCATTATTATCATATTATTATTATAGCAGCTTATTTACTTTCTTGATTTGACAAAACAAACGTAACATGGTTTAATTGCACCTCATTGCCATGATATTGATCAAATAAAGGCATCAGTGAAGCTGCAGCCCCTAAAAAAGCAAACCTGAAACCTTATTTTTGTGTCTAAGCTTTTCATTAACTGTTGCCGTGCTTAATGTAAGCAAAACTAACTATGGAAAAAAGCTAACGCTAAGTCACTATCGTCATTACACTGTGAACGTCGGACACTTTAGCAGATATTTCATTCATTGCAAACTTAACTTTACTTTTGTGTGTTAAAACATCAGCTACAGAAACTTACTTTAACTGCAGAAAGGTGGAAGCTCAGTGACTCCACTCTGCAACAGACAGACTGCCTCGTCAATGTGACACGTTCTGCCTGCGTAGCTGCATGCAATGTATGGAGCAGGGCCGTAACTAAGCTTTTCATGGGCCTCAGATTATATTTAAAAATATATATTTTTGGTAAATAAATATTTATTTTAAAGGTTGTAATGGGCTTTTGGACTAAAAACAGTTAGTAATTACAAATATTTTAGAAACATAAAAGTAGGGGGTTGCTGGGGAGGGCAAGGCTCTACAGCAGGGGGGCAGTTCCCCCCATTGCCCCTCTGTAGAGCTGCCCCTGGTATCTGCATTCTTTACATTGATAAAATATTAAATACTAATCAAACAGTTTGTGCTATGAAACACCTTTTATGCAACACAACAACTGTAAAAACTAAAATACAATCACATGACTTTCCCTACTTACAAGTTTGCCTTTTACTGGATTTGTAACTGGAAATTGCAATTATGAAAGACTTTGACTGGTTAAACTGGTGGTCATCTCCGGCCATAACTGGTGGTGTCAGTCTAGGTTGTGGAGTTCCTGGGTGGGCAGCTGCAAGGTGAAAAAAGGCAGCCTGACTCAGGCTTGAAGTGCTAACAAGTTTTGTTCTTAGTCAAAAGTATTTATTCTGTATTTGAGATATATTTAGTTGTTTCAAGTCGCAAATTACAAAACTGAAAAGCCCAAACGGCATTTTAAGATTTGGATATGCCACACACAAAAAAGGACAAAAACATGAATTCATTATCTTCAATTATCTTTACTTCTGAGTTTAACTTCACAGTTTAAAAATCAAGAGCTAAGATGTTCAGTTTATGCTTTTATCTTTATCATTTGATGATGTAATCAGAAACTATAGAAAATATGAAATAATAAAGCTCCATTAGTTTTGTCAATTTTATGTTGAAACAAGAAATACTTTTTTAGCCTGTAACATTACCTTTGTCACCTGATGTTGAGATGTAATTTTTGTCTAAAGAACCAACTCAAAGACACATCTGAAAAGCCTATAACAAAGAAAAAGAGCACTTTGAAGGCTGTTTTGCTTTTGACCAAACRATGAGATAGATTTTTATTTTCTTTTTTTTAAAATAAAGGTTAATAAAAGTAACTCCAATAGTTCCTTGAGAGGCTAAGAAAGGGCTTGCCA